GGGAGTGAACTAGCGGATGGAAGACCTCTCTCTCTGTCTGCTTCTCCTCTCAATGTGTAACTCTGACTTTAAAATAAATAAATAAATATTTTAAAAAGATTTATTTATTTATTTATTTGAAATGCAGAGTTACAGAGAGGCAGAGGCAGAGGCAGAGGCAGGGAGGGAGAGAAATCTTCCATTTGCTGATTCACTCCCCAAATGGCCACAACAGCTAGAGTTGGGCCCATCCAAAGCCAGGAACCAGGAGCTAATTCCAGGTCTCCCACATGGGTACAGGAGCCCAAGGACTTGGACCACCCTCCACTGCTTTTCCAGGCGCATTAACAGGGAGCTGGATTGGAAGTGGAGCAGCCAGGACTCAAACCGGCACCCATAAGGGATGCTGGCACTGAAGCAGTGGTTTTACTGACTACATCACAGTGCCAGCCCCAACATGCTGATTCTAAGCGGCAATAGTCACTGTGTTCTTTCCCTTTAACAGTTACTTTTCCAACCTCCTTTGCAGTTAAGAATCATATTCCCATATACCCTAATCAAAGGGACATCCGTCACCAGAACCTCTCCTCTCTTCCCTCTGCTTCCCATATGGACATGATAGCTGGTGTTGTGGTGGCCATATTGAAAACCACAGGGGCTCCAGCAAAAGACAGAAAAGCCAGCCAAGGGAGAAAAGGCACGATGGAAAACTAGAAAGAGTCTGTAACATTGATAGCAGCATGATGAATGGAAGTAATGCCAGCAATTGCCTATCATATAGCTTTTTGTTTGTGAGAAGAATAAGCCCCCATTTATTTCACCCACTGACAGTCATGTTTTCAGTTACTTGCAGCCAAACTATCCTAGTCAATATCTTCTGCACTGTGTTTATAGTTTAGTCCCAATGGGCATGCACCATTGCCCCAGTCACACTTTCCTATCTTCATGTCTTTTCTCCACTTAGCTCTTCATATGCTAAGTGATTAACATTTACTCTAATTAATTATTTGAACTGGTTCATGAAATTTTAAGTGTAAGTAACCTATGGCTAGTTCAATCAATCAAAAATTATTCACTGGTGGGGCTGGCACCATGGCGTAGCAGGTAAAGCCGCTGCTTGCAGTGCTGGAATCCCATATGGGCACCACTATTTCAAGACCCAGCCACTCCACTTCCAATCCAGCTCTCTGCTATGGCCTGGGAAAGCAGTGGAAGATGGTACAAGTGCTTGGGCCCCTGCACCCATGTGGGAAACCTGGAAGAAGCTCCTGACTCCTGGCTTCAGTTCAGCTCAGCTCTGGTTATTGCAGCCATTTGGGGAGTAAATCAGCAGATAGAAGACTTCTCTCTCGCTCGTTCGCTTGCTCACTCTCGTTCTCACTCTCTGCCTTTGCCTCTGCCTCTCTGTAACTCTGCCTTTCAAATAAATAAATAAATAAATTATTCACTGGGGCCGAGACTGTGGCATAGTAGGCTAGGCCTCCGCCTGTGGCACTGGCATCCCATATGAGCGCCAGTGCGTGTTCTGGCTGCTCCTCTTCCAATCCGGCTCTCTGCTTGTGGCTTGGGAAGGCAGTGGAGGGGGCCCAAGTACTTGGGTACCTGCAGCCATGTGGGAGACCTGGAGGAAGCTCCTTGCTCCTAGTTTTGGATCAGTCCAGCTCTGGCTGTTACAGCCTTATGGGGAGTAAACCCACAGATGGAAGACCTCTCTGTCTCTCCTTGTCTCTGCCTGTACTCTACTTCTCAAATAAATAAAATCTCTTAAAAAGTTATTTACTAACTACCCATGATATGTAATTTACAGTAGATTTAAATTTGAGCTTTTATTTAGTCATTACATCCATTCCCAAATTACAACATCCTGTACTTTGTTTTTGTTAAGAAACAAACATCCCAGTACTAGTTTGATATGCAGGGTGGCTATTTAGAAGACTGGAATAAGCTCTCCTGCTGTGATTGATAGAAAGTCTGTCTCACTGCTAGTACTCAACAACTATTAAATTATAATAATACCACTATAGGTATTGTTCAGGTTCTCTGACATTGTTACAACTTCCTACTCTGTTTTTGAAGGGTGTGAGATCTTATAATAAAATTGTTTTATGGAAGTGGATGCACATTACACAGTTTGTCAGTCAGCTTAGCTAGGTCATATTAGTAATGTTTTCTGCTCAAATAAAGATGTGTTTAAAAATTCTGTGTTGGTGTGACTCTACTGCAAAAAAGTAAAGTTCATAATTTACTACAATAAATTACTTCTCAAAAACATTTATTATCAGACTGCAACTATTTTTAATTCTAGAGGAAAAAGTGGGGGGTCATTCTTTGCTATAGGAAAACCAAAGAAATTTTTAAAAATAAAATGAATTTTAAATCATATCTCTGCCTAAGAGCATCTTTCAGCAGGAAATTTCTTTAATCACTTTTTAACCCATTACATTTATAAGCAACACATAATAATTCAAAGAAAATAAATTTCAATCTTAAAGAATCTTAAAGAAAATCAAAAGTCTAAGGTGGTCCAGTTGGCATATGTCATACATCAAAATTTGCAAAGAAGATGAAGCAGGCCTTTGGCACAATGGTTAAGAAGCTTCCTTCAACACCTAAATCCCCTATGAAAGCCTAGGTTAAAGTCCCATCTCTGCTCACAATTCCAGCTTTCTGCAAATGCACATCCTGGAAGGCAGCAGGAGATGGCTCAAGCACTTAGTCCTTGCCACACATAAGGGTGTACTGGACTGAGTTCCAGTCTTATGGATTCAACCTGTCCCAGCTCTGGCTGTTGCAGCATTTGGGGCATGAACCAGTGGATGAAAGATCTCTTTCTCCATCTCATTGCTTTTCAAATCAAAAATACATTTTAAAAAATCCAAAGAAAGATTTTATGCTTTGTGAAATTTTGCTTGAAATTCCTTTAGCTTATCAACCTAATGAATCATTAAGGTAAATATTAAAGAACAATAATTGCCCACTGAGGCCAGTGTTGTGGCGTAGCAGATTAAGTCACTACCTGAAATGTTGAGTCCCATTTGGGCACCTGTTTTAGTCCCAGCTGCTACACTTCTGATCCAGCTCCCTGGGAAAGCAGCAGAGGATGGCCCAAATGCTTGGCCCCTGCACCCATGTGGAGACCTGGAAGAAACTCCTGGCTCCTGGCTTTGGATTGGCTCAGCTCCAGTCATTGCAGCCATTTTGGGAGCGAACCAGCAGGATTGAAGACCTCTCTCTCTCCCTCTTTCTCTCTCTTTCTATCTCCCCTTCTGCCTCTGTCTCTCTGTAACTCTTTCAAATAAATAAATAAATCCTTTAAAAAAAGAAAGAAGTCATTCCCATAAGGATAAAAATAGTATGATTACATTTATATAATATTTTGAAGTTATGAAATTATGGGAATTCAGAACATATTTCATCATTTAGAATGATGAAAGGGCAGGGGGAGTGGGTGTGGTTATAAGCACAACACAAGGAAGCCTTGTGGTAATGGAAATGCTCTATATTAATTACTCTATCAATGTCAGTCTCCTGGTTCTGATATAGTAAAAGTATTCCGTAAAATATTACCATTGGGAAAAACTAGGTAAAAAGATATCTATATATTATTTCTTGCAAGTACATATGAATCCACAATATCTCAAAATCAAAAGTTTCATATACTGCCCAGCATCCATTCCATCTCCTTGTAACAACTCCCTGATGTTTCTTGGAACCACCCACCTGGATTTTCAATCCAGTGGCTCAAGTGGCCAAAGCCTACCTTCAATTTCATGGGTGGACATAAAATTCATACCTGAGAGGAGATGCTATTGGTTCTTAGGTTGCTAAGCTTCATCATATGGAAGGCTCCAACCTACAGGGCCACTATATCAAATGTACCATTCAGAAAATGAAGCTTGTGCAGGTAGAAGCAGGGTCAAAATACAGGAAGATTTGAGTATCAAGGATAAAGTTTGTGCTCTTGGATTCAATCATGTCTGAAGTTAGCATATTACCTGGACTTCTCAGATACAGGAACTAAAAATAAAAATATCTTCCTTGTTTAGTTTTTTTTTAAAGTTTAATTTTAAATGAACTTTATCAAATATTAGAATCACATTCAGTACACATTAGTATTTTTATAAACAATGCAATATAGTTAGTGCCATGACAAAAACATATTATTATCCCACTAATAAGAATTCTCTTTTGTATTAAGTTTTATGTTAGTTCTATTCTTCTGACTTTGATATAGCACTAATTTTCTTGAACAAAAAAGTATCTCCAGTGTGTGCAAAAATTTTGTTTTGCACATTTAAGTTGGGGTGTACATTCTAACCAACTTGCAAGAAATTTTTGTATATTAATGAGAGTAGGCTACTGTCAATCACATCTGTGGAAAATGTATTTCTCTACTAGCCATTTATCCTTTGACCTCACTTGGTTATACAGAAGTATTTAATTTTTCATAGTTACATTATTATCCTGTTTATTTTTTAAAACTGTTTGTCTTTCATGACACAATTAGAATGACCTTTCTACCATAACGCTAGGCTTAAAATCAGTACACATTTTTTTCTCTGTTACTTTTAGTTTTCTCCCCCCCCCCCACAAGTAGAGTTATAGACAGTGAGAGAGAGAGAGAGACAGAGAGAAAGGTTTTCCTTCCATTGGTTCACTCCCCAAATGGAAGCCAGACGCCAGGTGCTTCTTCCTGGTCTCCCACACGGGTGCAGGGGCCCAAGCACTTGGGCCATCCTCCACTGCCTTCCCAGGCCACAGCAGAGAGCTGGACTGGAAGAGGAGCAACCAGGACTAGAATCCAGTGCCCATATGGGATGCCGGCACCGCAGGTAGAGGATTAGCCAAGTGAGCCATGGCACCAGCCCCTCTTTTAGGTTTTTTTTTTTTTTTTAAGAAGTATGAGTGATGTAAAGAATACTAAAAATTTGGGGAGGGGGGAGCGGCAAGATGGCAGGATAGGAAGGGAGCACACTGATAGTCCAGGAAGAGACAGTTTAATAAAAGTGGAGTTACTGCAGGTTCAAGGAAGAGTAGGGGAAGAAACAGCAGAGGAAACTCTTCCAGAACTAGTGATTCACAGTGGACCTGCGTGGAGAGCATGGGAGCCCATGGTTTGGGACACCAGTGGCAGAATCAACACACCAGCGCTGGAACACAAGGTGAGCTGAACCTCAATAGCCTGAGACACTGGTGGGCAAGCGGAAAGAGGAGACTAGAAGGAATGAGGCTTGAAACCCCATGGGGAAAAGTTCACCAGGCTAACTAGAAGAGAGAGGGAAAAAAAAAAGCGACCAATACAGACACGGGTTTCTCTCTCTCTGCTCACCTCTCAAAGGCGAGCAAGACAAAGAACAGGTGCCATTTTGGACATACGTCATAAATGGGACGACATCAGGGCTGCACCCGCCCTCAACCAAGCAGAAAAACCTGACTGGGGGGGGGGGTGAAATAACAGGAGATTAGGACCTAGTGAATGTGTGGTGCTAATGAACTGAGACTGTGAAAAAAGAGACAGTGGGGGAGAGAACTCACGGAATTCATGTGAGTACTCACCAGAGACGTTACAATTTGGTAACCTTGGCAACCCAATGGCAGACTGCAGGAGAAATTGAGCCCACACTGAGGGCAAAACAGATTCCCTGTGTGGTCCTTGGGAAAGAGCTTCCTATCTCTGGCTCCTGTGGGTATATTATTCGCCTGATAACTACCTCCAATTCTGCTCAGCTGTGCGGAATTACTTCCCTTTTGAATTAAGGAAAGAAAGAAACAGAGAGAGAGATTTACCATGCCTAACCTGGGAGTGTCACCTTTGGCACACCCTTAACCCCAAGGAACCAAACAGAGCTCTCAGGCCACACCCATCTCAAGCCTCTAAGGCTCCATCAAAAGCAGATAGTCCACTTAATACAGTCATAGTATAACAAGAAAAAATACCACAGCTAGGGAAGAAGAATCCAAAGAATATCTCCACAATGCCAAGCAACAAATGCAGAAACTGAGGAAACAAGAACAAGGAAGACATTATGACACCCCCAAATGAACAAGAAACCACAAGCCAAGATTATGAAGATGATGAGATGGAAGAAATGCAAGATACCTATTTCAAAAAATATATGATAAGAACAATTAGAAGTTTTCAAAAACAAATGCTTGAGCTGCAGAAATCCTTACTGGACAGGATAGAAAATCTCCTATGAGAAAATGAAATCTTAAGAAGGAATTAAAATGAAATACAGAAACTAGTAAAACAGGAAAGTGTGATAGTGAAGAGAAATCAAAATGAAATGAAGAACTCAATAGATCAAATGACAAACACATTAGAGAGCCTTAAAAACACAGTCAGTGAAACAGAAGAGAGAATATCGGACTTAGAGCACAGGAAAGTATACAGTCAAACCAAAGAAAAGAAGAGGAAATTAGAAATCTAAAAAACATTGTTGGGAATCTACAGGATACTACTAAAAACCCCAACATTTGGGTTCTAGGAGTTCCTGAAGGCATGGAGAGAGAGAAAGGATTAGGCCTTTTTAGTGAGATACTTACAGAGAACTTCCAGGGCTTGGAGAAGGACAGAGACATCCTAGTACAGGAAGCTCATAGAACCCCTAGTAAACATGACCAAAAGAGATCCTCACCACGACACGTTGTAATTAAACTCACCACAGTGAAACATAAAGAAAAGATTCTAAAATGTGCAAGAGAGAAACGTCAGATTACTCTCAGAGAATCTCCAATTAGACTCACAGCTGACTTCTCATCAGAAACCCAACCCTATAGGCTAGAAGGGAATGGAGAGATACAGCCCAGGTACTAAGAGAGAAAAACTTCCAGCCCAGAATATTATATCCTGCAAAGCTCTCATTTGTGAATGAAGGTGAAATAAAGACCTTTCACAGCAAACAGAAATTGAAAGAATCTGTCGCCACTCCTCCATCCCTGCAAAAGATGCTTAAAGATGTGTTACACACAGAAACACAGAAGCATGGTCATCAATAGGAAAGAAGGTAAACGAAGAAAACCTCACAGCAAAAGATCACAGGAAGTTCAAAGCATATATTAGAAAATATCTTTGGCAAATGGCAGGGCAAAGTTACTACTTATCAATAGTCACATTGAACATTAATGGCCTGAACTGTCCAGTTTAAAGACACAGATTGGCTGATTGGGTTAAGGAACAAAACCCATCTATTTGCTGCTTACAAGAAACACATCTTTCCAACAAAGATCCATACAGACTGAAAGTGAAAGGCTGGAAAAAGATATACCATGCCAACAGAAATGAAAAAAGAGTGGGAGTAGCCATCTTAATATCAGACAACATAAAGTTTACCACAAAAACTGTTAAGAGAGACAAAGAGGGGCACTATATAATGATTAAGGGATCAATTCAACAAGAAGATATAACGATTATCAATGTATATGCACCTAATTACAGGGTACCGGTTTACTTAAAAGATTTGTTAAGGGACTTAAAGGGAGACTTAGACTCCAATACAATAGTACTGGGGGACTTCAATACTCCACTCTCAGAAATAGACAGATCAACAGGACAGAAGATCAACAAGGATACAGTAGATTTAAATGACACTATAGCCCAAATGGATTTAGCAGATATCTACAGAACTTTTCATCCTACACAGAAAGCATTTACATTCTTCTCAGCAGTACATGGAACCTTCTCTAGGATTGACCACATACTAGGCCATAAAACAAGTCTCAGCAAATTCAAAAGAATTAGAATCATACCATGCAGCTTCTCAGACCATAGAGGAATGAAGTTGGAAATTAACAACTCAGGAATCCCCAGCACATATGCAAACACATGAGATTGAACAACATGCTCCTGAATGAACAATGGGTCACAGAAGAAATTAAACGAGAAATCAAAAATTTTCTGGAAGTAAATGAGGATAACAGCACAATATACCAAAACTTATAGGATACAGCAAAAGCAGTGTTAAGAGGAAAGTTTATAGCAATAGGTGACTACATCAAGAAATTGCAAAGGCACCAAATAAATGAGCTTTCAGTGCATCTCAAGGATCTAGAAAATCTGCAGCAAACCAGACCCAAATCTAGTAGAAGAAGAGAAATAATTAAAATCAGAGAAGAAATCAACAGGATTGAATCCAAAAAAAAATTACAAAAAATCAGCCAAATGAGGAGATGGTTTTTTGAAAAAATAAACAAATTTGACACCCCATTGGCCCAACTAACTAAAAAAAGAAGAGAAAAGACCCAAATCAATAAAATCAGAGATGAAAAAGGAAATGTAACAACAGACACCACAGAAATAAAAAGAATCATCAGAAATTACTACAAGGACTTGTATGCCAGCAAACAGGGAAATCTATCAGAAATGGATAGATTCCTGGACACATGCAATCTACCTAAATTGAACCAGGAAGACATAGAAAACCTAAACAGACCCATAACTGAGACAGAAATTGAAACAGTAGTAAAGGCCCTCCCAACAAAGAAAAGTCCAGGACCAGATGGATTCACTGCTGAATTCTACCAGACATTTAAAGAAGAACTAATTCCAATTCTCCTCAAACTATTCAGAACCATCGTAAAAGAGGGAATACTCCCAAATTCTTTCTGTGAAGCCAGCATCACATAATTTCCCTCCTACCCACAACCCTCCCTTCTCCCGCTCCCTCTCCCATTCCATTCACATCAAGATTCATTTTCAATTATCTTTATATACAGAAGATCGATTTAGTTTACATTAAGTAAAGATTTCATCAGTTTGCACCCACACAGAAACACAAAGTGTAAAATACTGTTTCAGTACTAGTTATAACATTACTTCACATTGGACAACACATTAAGGACAGATCCCACATGAGAAGTAAGTACACAGTGACTCCTGTTGTTGACTTAACAATTGACACTCTTGTTTATGGCGTCAGTAATCTCCCTAGGCTCTAGTCATGAGTTGCCAAGGCTATGGAAGCCTTTTGAGTTCACCGACTTCAATCTTATTCCGACAGGGTCACAGTCAAAGTGGAAGTTCTCTCCTCCCTTCAGAGAAAGCTACCTCTTTCTTTGATGGCCCAGTTCTTTCCACTGGGATCTCACTTACAGAGATCTTTCATTTAGGTCTTCCTTTTTTTTTCCAGAGTGTCTTGGCTTTCCATGCCCATGCCTGAAATACTCTCGTGGGCTCTTCAGCCAGATCCAAATGCCTTAAGGGCTGATTCTGAGGCCAGAGTGCTATTTAGGTTATCTGCCATTCTATGAGTCTGCTGGGTATCCCGCTTCCCATGTTGGATCATTCTCTCCCTTTTTGATTCTATCAGTTAGTAGTAGCAGACACTATTCTTGATTGTGTGATCCCTTTGACTCTTAGACCTATCAGTGTGATCAGTTGTGAACTGAAATTGATCCCTTGGACTAGTGAGATGGCATTGGTACATGCCACCTTGATGGGATTGTATTGGAATCCTCTGGCACATTTCTAACTCTACCATTTGGGGCAAGTCCGATTGGGCATGTCCCAAGTTGTACATCTCTTCCCTCTCTTATTCCCACTCTTATATTTAACAGGGATCACTTTTCAGTTAAATTTAAACACCTAAGAATAATTGTGTGTTAATTACTGAGTTCAACCAATAGTATTAAGTAGAACAAAAAAAAAATACTAAAAGGGATAAAGTATTAAATTGTACATCAACAATCAGGACAAGGGCTGATCAAGTCACTGTTTCTCATAGTGTCCATTTCACTTAAACAGGTTTCTCCTTTGGTGCTCAGTTAGTTGTCGCCAATCAAGGAGAACATATGATATTTTCCTTTTGGGACTGGCTTATTCACTCAGCATGATGTTTCCCAGATTCCTCCATATTGTTGCAAATGACCAGATTTCATTGTTTTTTACTGCTGTATAGTACTCTATAGAATACATGTCCCATAATTTCTTTATCCAGTCTACTGTTGATGGGCATTTGGGTTGAGAATCAACCTCTTAGTAAAACAAGTAAGCCTACCTTGGGCCTTGATGTTGGCATTGCATATGGGCACTGCTTCAATTCCTGGCTGTTCCACTTCCCATCCAGCTCCCAGTAATGCACCTAGGAAAGCAGTGGAAGATGACCCAAGTACTGGGGCTCCTGCCACCCATGTAAGAGATCCAGATGGACTTCCTGGCTCCTGGCTTCAGCCTGACCCAGCCCTGCCTATTGTAGACATTTGGGGAATGACCCAATAGATAGAAGATCGATCTCTTTCTTTCTCTCTCTCTCTCTGACTCTCCTTCTCTGTAACTCTCTGCCTTTCAAATAATAAATCTTTTTTTAAAAAAGTAAGCCTACATTGTCTAAGTCTTTTTTAATATTTATTCAAATGTTTTATCATTTGTTCAAATATTTTTTATATCATGTCAAATCGTCCAGTTTTATTCATCTGATTCCTGATTATGTCTTACTAAGGTTATTTCTAGATATTGGATATTATATAGTTGTAAATATAAATGGGATACTCTCCCTTTTGTATTTTTGGTATAAAAACATATCAGAAAACTACCAAATTTACTTATTTTATAACCATTTAGCTTAATGAATATCCTTACTTTCTTAAAATTTTCACTAGACTGTAAGATATATCATCTTTTTCAATATTTTCAGATTATTTGATTTAAAATAGTTCAGGAACCAACTGAGTAATTAGTATAATATGAAGTAAGATACACATACACATATTCCAACACAAATATAAACACAAGAATCCTCAGATTGAGACATGTTTTCTCCTAGAATTCAAATATTAGCAAAGCAAAGAATTTGGTGAGTTTGTAAAGTACTCCCTGTCTCCAGAGCTCTTCTCTGCAGCATGGTTTTGTTTCACCAATAAGAGCACGCACTTCTTTTACAGGGGCTGCTCCAAGCAACCATTTTTCCCCTAGTGATTCTCAAATCAAATGTTGTGATTTAAAAATCAGAAAAGGAAAAACAGCTCATCTGATGGTTCAGTTACACTTTATTCCTCCAGGTTCACAGCCTATGATTAACAATGCACATAAACTTGGCTCTGTGATTTTCTGTTTAGATAATGACTGAAATCCATTAAACTATCCTTTTATGGTTGATGTTCTGTCAGCTGAACATCCAGCAGATTCTTTTTATAGAAGTCTGATTTGATCTGCAATGTCCTGGAACATGTTTTTCCAGCTATTTGGCTTCAAACTAATGCTAATTACCAGGCATTAGCTCACAACTTCTGCAGCACCCAGAAACACTACAATTCTACCCTCCCATGAAAACTTTCCTTAAGGATGAACCTATGGAATTCCTAGAGCATTCCCTGCGTACAGCTCAAGTGATCAGTTTTGTTCATTTTTTAAGTGTTTCTTTCTTTATTTTCATTTACTTGTAAGGCAGAGTGACAGAGAGAGGTACCTTCTATCTGCTGTTTTACTCACCAAATGTCCACATACACCCAGGGCTGAACCAGGCTGAAGCCAGGAATCCAAAGCTCCATCTAAGTCTCCCATGTGGGTGGCATGGGACCTTTTACTTGACTTGTCATTTGCTGCATTTCCAGAATGCATCACTAGGAAGCTGGACTGGAAGTGGAAGAGCCAGGACTTGAACTGGCACTCTAATATGGGATTGAGGTGTCTCAAGCCACAGCTTAACCTACTGCACCACAACGCCCACCCTGTTGTACTAAATTTTCTTTTCCATGTCTTATCTCCACATAATATTCATAAGTTCATTGAGAAGAGAAGGAATTAATATTTTGAAACTATGGCAAGCGTCAAGTCAGCTACCTGCTTTGAATACATTTTCTCAAGGTAAGTATTAGTGTTTATGGACAATTATGTTCTCCTAAAACACCTATTTCAGTGCCTAACAAATGAAGATATGATACTTACATAACCCAACACTCACCAGAGTATTTCTTCTTAAATTATACCCATCTAAGAGAAACAATACTTTCTTTATGTTTATTTTAAGTTGCCAATCCAACAATAAAAGCTCATTGTTTATCAAGAAAGGTAAGGAATTTTGTGTGGTTTTGAAAATTATAAAAAGTCAATAGGTTTTTATTATTATATTTTCTCAAAGAAACAGGCTCAGCTACAATAGAGCCTTGCTGAAGTTATAAAAGACTTCCTTGTCTGGGGTCAGCACTGTGGCAGAGGATAAGCCACCATCTGTGACACTGGCATCCCATATCAGAATGCCAGTTCAGGTCCTGGCTGCTCCTCTTCTAATCTAGCTCCCTGCTAATCTGCCTAGAAAAGCAGCAGAAGACAGCCCAAGTGCTTGGGCTCCTGTTACTTATATGGAGACCCACATGCGACCCAGGAAATTAATCCTCATAAGTCTAGTGGTTGGCAGAGACCCAACCACTTGAGCCATCACCTGCTGCTTCCCAGGGTGTGCATTAACAGGAAGCTGGAATCGGGAGGGAGCCATTACTCAAGCCCAGCCACTCTGATATGGGTCTAACGTTCATCCCCACAACAAACCTTCTGACCAATAATAACTTAATATTAGCCATTTCTAGTTTTCCTCATTCTTCTGCTGAGATGTAGATTAGTTTGTATCTGAATCCCAAAAGTTCACCTCAAAGTCTTTCAGTGCACATGAAATGAAACTAATCATTGCCACCATTTATTGAGTGATTATTGTATCTCAAGTACTGAACTAAGTGATTTACCTGTGTGATTACACTTAATTATCACAATAGCCCATTAGATTGATGCTCTTATTTTATTTTTTAAAGATTTTTTAAAGATTTCATTTATTTATTTGAGAGGTAGAGTTGCAGTTAGAGAGAGGGAGAGACAGAGAAAAAGGTCTTCCATCCACTGGTTCACTCCCAAAATGGCCACAACAGCCAAGCTGGTCCAATCCAAAGCCAGGAGCCAGGAGCTTCATCCGGGTCTCCCAAATGGTTGCAAGGGCCTAAGCACTTGAGCCATCTTCTGCTGTTTTCCCAGGTCATGATGCTATTTTTTTTCCATTTTAATCATAAGGAAATTAAGGCTTAGAGGAGCTAAATCAGACAGAATGTAAAGCCTGCACTCTTACCCATTTGTATATACAATGAAGTAACCAAACAATTGAGTCCTCATTAGTGGCAGGAGTGAATTATCTAACTTTCAAAAGTGATCTTTGTAAGATTTCAAGAATACCTGTGGGGCAGCCATGACTAGAAACAGAAGCCATGGAGTTGGGGACTGGTACTGTGGTACAACAACATCTAATATGGGTGCTGGTTCAAGTCCTGGCTGCTCCACTTCCAATCCAGAACCCTGATAATGTGCCTGGAAAAGTAGTGGAAGATGGCCCAAGTGCTTGGGACCCTGTACCAATATCAGAGACCAGGTGGAGTTCCTGGTTCCTGATTTCAACTGTTGCAGCCATTTGGGAAGTAAACCAGTGGATAGAAACTCTCCATCTGACTCTCCCTCTCTGCATCTCTGCCTTTCAAATAAACAAATAAATCTTTAAAAAAAAAAGCAGCTAGCATTTTGAAAATGAGCTTTCACTAAAACTACTTTCAGAAATACTATCTCATGAATTGCTGCAACCAGCCTGTCAAAGCATTGTTCCCATCTTACAATGGAATGGCTCAGCCTCATGGTTAGAAAGTGGGGGCAGATTCACACCCAAGTTTTGTGTATCCAAGTTCAACACTACTGCCATTAACTTGGGTTCACAGACCTGGTGGCAGAGATGGCAAAACTTGCCCTTCAGAGTCACACCCATGGCTTCCCAAATGTCACTTTTGATGCAGACAGTATGGCTGTCCCCAACATATGTCAACAAAACCAACTGATGCTCTCTATCCTTATATAAATAAAACATCCCTTATTAGTGTATTTCCTTTCATGTCCTGGGTATCAACAAAATGCTAACCAAACCAGTACAGATGTTTAAAGTTTTATAAATAAATTTTCACCTATTTGATATTATACACACTAACACATTTCATAAAATGAATTAACTTCTTGGAAATCATGTGGATTAATCATCTCAGCTTAATTATTCCATACAATTCCGATATGCTACTCAGCTTGCACTATTTTCCAAACTTTCCCATGGTTTTCAAGTTCTCCTACATCTTCTGGAAGGCCTTGATTGTTGTGGTCCTGGCCCACACCGCAGTTACAGCTGTGTTCCCTCTTTGCCTCAGAATCCTACAAAGTCAGATTGAAGAATATGACCATTTTGGGTCATTGGACTCTGTAGGTATTAAATCATTAAACCTCACACTATGACAAGTGTTCTGTTCTTCCTTGAATCTGTATCTCTCTGTTCGGCATCCATTCATCATGGGGTCAATTATAATAATGATTTTTTTATTTTCTATATTCTTGATGCTCTGGCATTTGGGGGCTTAGAGACCTACAGTGAAACAATTCTGAGAGACAGCAAAGAGCTTAACTGAGAACATGGCTGTCATGTACAAACAAAAGTGTCCCAAGTCAGCAGCCCCAACCTCCTTATCTGATTCTCACATGCCCAACTAGGATGTCCCTTGCCCTAAATCCTCTTAGCTACCAGGCAATTCTAGATCACTCTTATAGTCCAAAGCCTCAGGAAATGATTCAAACTAGCCAATCCTAAACTGTTTATTCTGCCTTACCTCTATTCCCTCAGAAACCCCCAAAATGGCTCTGGCCTAGACTTTCCCCTGCCTCTTGACATTCATTGGTGCTTTCTCTTGTGGCCCTGCCCATGGCAAATGGTGACTTCCTCTCTAGTCCTTGTGATTATAGCAAACTTCTTCCCAAGCCTCATTCTTGCCTCCTTCTGTGGCGACACTAACTTTACCAACATGTACGCTCTTAAAACTGTGGTACTATTTTTAGCACTATTTCAGAGAAAATGAAACTGAAGTAACAAGTTTAAACCACTTGCTAAAGATCACATGACATGTCAGATGCTAAACCAGGCAAGCTCCAGGCCGTAGTCAAAGGGCTCTGTCTTCTTCCATGCTCCCTAATCCCCACCCCTGCCTCTGTTGCACCTATTATAGCGCCTGACTTTATGGTTTTCCTTGGTATTTGGTTGTTGCACTACAGGAGTACTTGTGCATTTTCACCATATTCTCAAAAAGCAATAGCTATAGATTTGGGTACTTAAACCGCTAATCTGCTCTGCTTTATTATCTAGGTCCAAGTTTTATTTTAAATTTTACCTAGGCTTTTCATTTCTTTTAAAAAAAGATTTATTTATTTATTTATTTATTTGAAAGGCAGAGTTACACACAGAGAGAAGGAGAGGCAGAGAGAGAGAGAGACGTCTTCCATCCACTGGTTCACTCCCCAGTTGGCCGCAACGGCTGGAGGAGCTGCACTGATCTGAAGCCAGGAGCCAGGAGCTTCTTCTGGGTCTCCCATGTGGGTGCAGGGGCCCAAGTAGGCCATTTTATACTGCTCCTTCAAGCCATAGCAGAGAGCTGGGTAGGAAGTGGAACAGCCAGGACTGGAACTGGTGCCCATATGGGATGCAGGCACTGCAGGCGGCAGCTTTACCTGCTACACCACAGCACCGGCCCCTAGGCTTTTCATTTCTAGGCTTTGGAGTTCCAGATACTTTTCTATCCCACTCTCTTCCTGCTGTTCTAATCAGAAACATCTCTCAGCATTCTTGCCCAGCTCCACAAATCTAACACCACTGTTCCTTAAGTCTCTAAGGGATAGAAGAGGTAGTGGGGGCAATTATTCATGAAGCATAGTCAAAAAAATTGGTAAAGGGGCGATTGGGAGGATGAGGCTTTTCCTTCTCCTCTAAGCTATACCACATAAAAGTTACCTCACATCAAGTCACCTGTCTTTCTAGGACCACCATAATCAGAGCTCCCAGGATATCTGCTATATCAAAGCAAGGTAATCAGCACGATCTTATGTATTATCAGATATTACAGTCTCAAGCCTTGGTAAAGTAGAAATCAAAGCAAAATAACTAGCAGTCTATTAGGTTAGTTACTAGAGAAACAGAACTCAGCATGTCCTCCAGCAGCTCTTTTATCTCCATGAGTAGACCTCGTCATAACTCATTCTCTCAAGAAACCTTTGGAAAAGTATCAGAATATTTATATGGAATTCTTAGACAAGAATTCCTATGTTTGCCCTAGATTGAGACCATGAGTGGGGGAAGAAAGGTTTCTGGCTAACTAATGTAAAATTGTTTGTAGGCACCAGTTTTGCTTTGTATATATTCAGCTTTAGTGTTGATAAGAAAAAGCATGTTTCTAATAAATATTTGCCACACAAGTAGGAAGATAAGAAAGTCTGTTAGGGAAATCTGCCAATGCCCTGTTCTTGTGTTTGCAAGAAGAGACTTCTAGAGTAACATTTCTTCCAGCTTCCACACGTACCCTCTGTATTTTCCAAAAAAGGAGGAGAGATTCAGATGACTGGGTAGATTAAAGAAGGGAATTGTGTAAGTGTGGCTCAGGCTTTCTGTACTTGCTTTTTCAGATCTGCCGAGAATAGAGGGTTTCTTTGGGCCACAGAGAGCAGTTCCAGCCTACATTAAAAAATATTCTGGAGACACCAAGGAAGGGTGCACTAACAAAAACATGATGAGGCTTTGAATTCAGACCCATACCCCTCCAAATCACTAGCCATGGTTATGGGTACAGGCTTCTCTCATAGTCACTGGCCTGCTCCACCAGCTCCTAAACTTCATGTGGTAAAGACACATGTGTTAAGGCCCCAAATCCCTTCCTGGCATGCCAATTCCTCTGACTCAAATGCCCAGGTTCCACAGAGTTCAGGCAGTAATTCTGAGTCCAGCTTCTTTACATTATTCTGGTGGATCACCCCAAAGC